TATTCTTCTTCCTCTTCTTCTGCCATCGCTGTATCCAGTTGAACCATGCGCATTCGCTGTTGAAACAAAATAAATTACCTTAGTTCCTCTCTCCCAGATAGTACATTATATTATATGTGAACAATGATTGGTCAATTTTACAGTAAACCTATTTCTTGCATGTGCTGACTTCATCATTGAGAGCAAGAGATACTTAAACACCTTATGAATCAGTTTTTCTTCACCCATACATGTATTCTACATTTTCCCACCATCCATTTATACTTGTAAATCTTTTCTAAATCAAAGGGGAAAACAAAAAGCAATGGGAATGGAAAAGTGAGCAAAATAATAATAATAAAAAAATGGGGACCCAGATTTGAATGCCCACACAGATGTTTCATTGAAAGCATCTACTTTGTTTCACTGTCTGAGAGCCAGATATGACATTTTTCATGTTTTTTACCACCTCCAGCAAATTTTCAGTCTGCCCTAATCTCAATTTGCTAATATGAAATGTTTCATCAGGTACACAAGCAATACCCTAGGTGCCCACTTTGGTGTTTTATTGTGTACTTTTTCTCAATGTAGCTACTTGAAACCCATGGTTTTCTCATGTTGTCCTCACCTCTGCTTTCTTTTCATTCTCATTCAACTCTCTGTGTTTTACCACCAACTGTGAGACCGCTGACTGCACGCCACCTGCACCACCACGAGCACGCCGCTTGCTCAAATGAACTCTGTAATTGAAATTCGCAGATAATGAACTGTTAACAATGCAGCCACCATAATGCTTACTGTAAATGTTACACAATACACTTGTCACAAGAAAGAGGAGAGAAACAGTTATTTTATTACTTCAAAATTAAAATTCGAAATTAAAGTAAGGTTCAAGTTAGTATGTTAGTTTCCCATTGTACAAGTGGTAAACACCTCATACCTTGTTACTAGTTCATTGTAGAAGACTCCTTCTCCTTCACGGAAAACAAAGAAGTAATTTTCCTATTTTGAAAAAAAAAGATTCTTTGTTCAATGTATATGTACAGTGGAACCCTGCCTTACCGTCATGGTTAATAAATTGAAAGACAAAGAACTGTGAACATCATGGTCCAGCAAGATTTTCAGTTATTATTTTTGTAACAAGATAACTCATGTGATCTCTCAACCCTTGTGCTTTTGAGGCCTGGTTCTCATTTCACAACTGGAAGGCAACAGATCTTACATTTAAGTAATTTCTAGTGTGTGGGTCCAGAGAATATCCATACCCATACCAGGAATGGTCATTGGGAATTCCAAGGGGGTGGTAGGTCTCAATAGCCACATTTTTAAAGGGAAAGTATGAAGCTAAACTGGAAATTCCAGGGGGGAGGGGATACAAACCAAATAACAATCCTTGGGGGAGGTATTGATATTTTCTGGAACCACAATCAGAACCATACCACTGAAATACAGTATTTATTATGAACATTCCATGCTCAAAATGTCACACTTCTCCACTACGTCCAACCATCCAACTTGCTCCTTGAATTAAAATAATTCCATTACTGTACTTCACTTTTTATCTTCCTCAAGTGTCTTACCTCATAACCTTTGGTAGCCTTATTCTTGACATTCCAGTTGTATTCACGAGCCATTTTGTATTCATACCTGGACAAAAGCACAATACAGATCACCATCAGATTTAACTACACTGTGTGTTGCAAAATCAGTTTGGGATACTTTCAAGGGTTCAAATCAATTCAAAGATGTGACTGCTATAGGGTTGCATGTAGTTCTAGCCACAGAAACGACTGGCAGGACCCAAGGAAAAGACTTAAAAAGCAGTATAGTACGTGTTTGTAGTTTGACAAGCATGCTATTATGCATTGGTGCCTTTGTTGACGAGGATTTCATCATAACGTTACATGAACTAAATCACATGTCACATCAAAACAGCAAATTTGAGTAAAAATGGTACAGGGTTTGAAACTAAAGTAAAAAGGAGTTGCACTAAATTCCAGGGGCCCATAGCACCTGTGTATAGCCATCTGTACATCTATCTCAGGATGCAAATCTTAATTCTCCTTTATGATTGCCACACATTGCTTTTAAAAGTTCTGAGAATTTGGAGGTATATCACAGCAATGTCTCCTACACTGTAGTTGATATTTTTCTTTACTCTCGTCACCTGTAGGCTTGACAATGTATTGATATTGTAAGGAGATTTAAGATGTCAATCCTTGTACTCACTCTTCCTCCTCAGTGTATTCCTTCTCACTCTCTTGGTCTCGTTTTCTCTTTCTTATTGTGTCTGTTGTTGGAAGGAAGTAAGCAACAAACTGGTCTCCACTGGCATCCACCATACCTCTATGATGAGCAAAAAGTAACCAGTGTTAACTTTTGTTTGGCAAAGTACCATGTACATGTAAAGAATTGCAGCAGAACCTCAACAATTTGGTAAAGGGTAGCAGATAAGTACTGTACGTGTACAATAAAGCAGCAGAGGGCCTTTGAGGAGGCTCCGAGGCAATGTTAACTTCTGTGGCTCCTAAATTAGTGATAACAGTACACACACTGTGGTACCACACTGTGGTAGTTGTTTTGACCCTGGGTGTAGGAAGGTGCAATCCAGCTGCTTTACACCTTTGTAGGATTGTTTCAGTTCACATTCCCTGACAAGCGCAAGCAAGTATGTCCTCAATCAGCACAAAAGGAAAACAAGCTCCTCCTCATGCCTAACCTGTCTTCACAAACCTTCCTGATACTACATCAGAACATTTAAGTTGGGGATTGACCTCATTGACTAAATGTACTTAAATTTGTAATTCACACTCTTGAGTTCTTCAGATTTGACAAAGATTTTATGAAGGACAAACATCATTATAACACATCATTTCGCAGTTATTGGTGAAAATTTTTTCCAGTGGGTGATTTAACATGTTATAAAGCTCCAAATACATAGCATAGCAGTGTGAAAGCCAACAAGTTCTGTGAGAAGAGGACTGTTAGTATCCACTGACCTGATGAGTGCTTGAGACATTTCTTCTTCCTCTGCTGGACCTCCTCTACCTCGCGGAGTTGGGTCAGTGTCAAAGATGACATGAGCACATGGATGTGCCCACATCTGATATGTTCAATAAGAAAAGTAAATTAAAATATCCTGTCCCAAGCTAAATTACAAAGAGGCAAATGATTCACAGTACAATGTACAATGTATGTTAAACATGACATGTATTTAGTCAACTCCTCACTAACTCTTCCTAATCTGAGTTGAGAATTGATGAATTAAGCACATTGTGAATCTTTCAAATGCACAAGAAGTTTGATCTTATCAAGCATTATTATATTATGTTTCACTTTTCATAAGGTTTACCACTTGAAAGAATTAATTTCCCAGATGCCATGAATCATCTTAAGTTGAAATTGAATCATTCAATAAATCAACCGATCGATTAGTCATTGTAAATAGTTATTTACAATGTAGAGCTGTATCTGAATATCTTTTGAAAACAGGGTGTTCACTTAAAAGAGTTGCTGATAACAATTATACATGTAGTTATTTGCTAAATTATAAAATTTATATTTTACAGCGTAATGTACAGTATGTAGTGTATATACAAGAATAAAAATTCAGTTTACCTGGAAATCTGGAAAGACAGGTAGTACTTCCACTGGTGTGACATTTGGTTTGGTTGGGTGACGAAGGATCTAGAAAATATTAATGAGAAAGATATGGTTAACAAAGTAGCCCATCCAAGCTTTTTTAAGCAAATCGCTTAGTGCGGCAATGAAACTCACTTTCAACAGTCAAGTGCAAACCTCTTTTCGTAGTGCCCCACATGGTGTATGCTATACAGGTGATTTTAATTTGATACACATGCTTAAGAATATGGTCACTCAACATAATGTTTACTGCAGTTTGCTTACTGGTCTTTGAGCTGCATCAAATGTGCTTTCAATGGCAGCAATCTGACTTTCATGATCCTAGAATAAAACAAGAATACACAGTTATTTTCTTTAGACCTTCACACATGTAACATGCACACTGATGGTTGATCTCAACGTGAAACAGGGTCTACTTAGTAAATCCCTCTGACAAAGATAACTAAAGAAAAATAACCTTGTAAATATCTGTTCCTTGAAATTTCTTTTTAACATTGAATCCAACCCTGCAAATGAAAGAACACAATGACTTTTACTGTCACTTACAGTCCTTGACATTGGCATAGACTGTTGGAAATGAAATTTAAAATTATTACTCCTGACCAGTCTTCTAGTTAAATTTACAACCATGCAATATTTCAGTTCAGCTTTGCGACAGAAAATTCGTACTTACAATCATCTTCACAGTATAGTAATTTCATTTTAGGAAACAAATAAACAAACCAACAAACAGACAATGGTACAGGTACAAGTACACAAATATATAATATTATTATGACTCTTACTTGGTTTCCACCATTTCATTACTAGTGCGACTTCTGTTGTACTCAGTCGAAATGTATTCAGTTCTTCGTAGCCACGATACATTCTTGTTGTGATGTGCCGTTCTGTATTGTGGATGATACAAAAAATGCCATTCAACTGGAAGTCCACAATAATTATTAAGATCACGGTGTTTAAAATAAAAGAAATAGGAGGAGAGGGGTGGGGGACACAGAATCAGAAGTAACGATGCTGTCCTTTACAGTCTAAACTTAAATCTACATTCAGGTCTAGGCACATGTACTTTAAGTCTACATTTTTAACACTGTATTCTGTAAAGGGGATGCTTATAGTTGTAAGTGCTACATACATGTATGCAGGGAAGCCTATCTTTACATTAGAAGAAAAGCTGGAATATTGCTATTTACTCATCAACAGACTTTTCTGAATGAACATCCTTACAAACAGTCTAAAAACTTTAAATTAAAACATGCTTTATGTACATGTAGATGCTTCAGATTCCAGATTCTACCTGTATGAACAAAAATTCAGAAATACACGTACATATACATGCATTTCTGAATTTTTGTTCAAACAGGTAGAATCTAGAATCTAAATACCTTTTTTTATCAGGCAAATTCACTGGTTCTTCTTCCAACAGTTTTTCATCATCGGGATCCAGCGAGACTATAATAATTATTATTTCACAAATAAATCAGTAGATGCACATGTAACATAGCCTGTATTGGAAACATAAGCTAACAGTTCAAAAAAAAAAAAAAAAACACTAGACAACATACAAAGAAACTTTAATGTGTTCAATAGCTGGGGCTACTGGATTGCAAACAGCTAAAGGATTCTGACTACCGGTATTCTTTGCTTGTGCAAGGGACAAGAAAAGCTTTCTTTAAGATACTTCTGAGGAAATTCAAACTACAGATTCTGTAGTTCCAAGAAATGTCCAAACCTCCTCCTCTGGAAATTCTAATTAAGCTCATACATTTCTTTAATTTTTTTTTTGGTCTTACAGAACCCCCATCCCCCGGGAAATTCCAATCTCTTCAGTGGGGAGAGTATGAATATTTTTTACAACTGAGCATTACTTTACTGTAAGAGATCACATTTGTTTCTTTTTTGGGGATGCCTACTAAGTTTAAATGACTTTTGCACCGTCTAGTGCATCCTTACCCCTAGGGTAAGCTGGAAAAAATCATTTTCTTTGCACTAATGCAAATAAGTAGTACACAAAATAATACAATCATGTAATACACATAGTTGGTCGTGAAATCGTCAAATAACTAATAACTGTATAACAATCAATAAATTGTTGGACAACTGGGTGTTTTATCTGAGGATATACATGTAAAAGAAAAAGAAACTCAAACAGTACACATTTTTAAAATATAATTATAATTAAATATTTACCATTTGGATCTAGAGCATATGTATCAGGGTCAATAAGATCAATATTGACCCCAAGATCAACCTCTGTCAACATCTCATGCTTGTAGTTTTTCTCCAATGATGTTGGCTTGTACTGCACAAACCTGATAATTCAACAAAAAAAATCTGCAATTTACAGTGTACAAATTGAAAGCAAAATCATTAAGATGATAATCATGAAAATCATACAAAAAATACAAAATGTACTCTGCAAAATGTATGAGTCATATTTTCAACTCTCTTCTCAGTGTTTGGAAATGTGGTCAACACACCAGTCTTTCATGTTTGATATATTATTTCTCATAAGCTTAGCCAAATTTCAATGATAGAGTTTTACTGTCACAAGTTTTCTTACAGTGTGATCTTGGAATCTTAATGTCACAAACAAAAAGTACATGAACATATTTTTAACCCAAGTAGACACCTCTCCTATTTTGGGTTCAGAGGGTGTCGGCTTGATACTTGTACGTATTTGCATTTTGAAGGCATGTACCGGTAAACACAAAATTCTAAGAAAAGAACCCTGATCCACGTTTGTGAAGATGTAATTCAACTTTGTATGGGGCTGTCACACAGGTAGCCGTGGTGAATGATGCTTCAAAAGCCATGGACCTTGCAAAATTTTCACTGAATTTCACAGGTCTTACAGTCTCATTTTTTTAATGGTTATGTGCGTCTTGCAGTCTCAATTTTTTTTTCACAAAGCTGTCATGCAGTATTGATTTTTTTTCAAGGCTAAGAAAGTCTCAAAGTACCGATTTGTTTATATTTTATATATTAAGCTTAAATAATGTCTGAACGTCAGTAGAACCTGAACGTCTCCAGCTCGCATTTAAAACATTTTGAAGTCTTGGTCTTGCAATCGAAGAAGTCAAAATGTCTCAGGCTTGCAAGGGAAAATGCTAGTCTTGCCTTAGCTTCTCGCAAAGTCTCGCATTTACCATTCACCACTCCCACAGGTATAAAAGACTAGAGCTAGAGTTAGACTAAAACAACATCTTTATTAATTTTTGTACTAAGATTAGATTTTGAAATTGTTTAAAAAGTGTGTTACCTGTTTGATTCAAAAGGATAAGCAATAAACTTAGCATCAAAAGGAATGTCTGGGAGATTGTTGTTGTACTTTACTCTGGACACAAAATCTGCTTTGCTGCAATGAATGAAATGTCACAAAATAGACTTAATCATTCAACAATGAAAGATTATATTTGCTACATGTAATAGGGAAAGTCCACGTCAGGCCAAGTGGCTGATATGTACAGGCAGAGCCTACAGTGTACATGCATTCCTGTGGCACCCAGGCACTTCTACAGCACAGCCCTGTGTCTTGCCCTAGAAGACAACACAATAACCCCAGCCAGGGCTTAAACCCAGATCCCTTGATTCAGAGTCCAGTGCACTAACCATTAGGCTACCATGCCTCTACAACTAAACCAGGTAAGTTTATCGAATGCCTTAGAAGTAAAATTGAAGCTTTCATGTCAAAGATGAATGTGAGTGACTTGGGTATTTCTGAATTAAGAAACCCTCTACACACATACTGGCAAACGAAAGCATCGATACAAATCATGCCTTCAAAAGAATCAATGAATTTGTTCATGGATACTTATATTTACATTTATCTGCAAAAGCTATCAGATTGAATTATTCTGTATCTACATGTAGAAGTGTAGCAGTTATTGTAATGTATCTCACAGTAAATCAGCTTGTGTGATAGCTACAGAACTGTAAAACAAAACACAAAATTGCGGCAGGTCATATCTGTTCCTGTATATTAATATTGCAATTAAATAGAAAATAATACAACTGCTGTACTGTTGATCATTCCCTAAAATAAATTTACACAAAAGTGGCCAGCTATTTTGGTTGCTGATTCCCCTTTAACTATTAATCTGTGAATAATTAAAGATGATTTCCAGTTCGTAGAGCACACTCTCGAGAGTTTGTTTACGTTTTTTGTTAGACATCACAAAATGTAAACATTTTGCAACTACTCATATGAAGTAGATTCAGGTTGCATTCTTTTGGGGTGATCCAGATCCAGATCAGTGACCCAAGATCACTCAGATCATGGTGCATCAAAGGCACCAATGAATCCACTCTGGTCACAGATTCATTGGTTCCTTTGATGTACCATGATCTGAGTGATCTTGGATCACTGATCTGGATCCGGATAACCCCAAAGGAATGCACCCTCAGAGTTTCATCTCGACTGCCATTATGAATGCCAAGCGTTGTGCTTTGAACTTTCTCATATCACTTGATGAAACAACTTTGCAGCCGTAAAAATCAATGAAGCTGTTGGAAAAAAGAATTTGGAAGGCCTCAAATAGAAGGTTTGTGGTCTGTAACGAATAACATCGATTCACATTCCATTGAGTGAGATTTATAATGTTTATAAACATTAGGGTGCTGAGACTGTGCAGAACGGACTGGAAATCACCTTTAAATATGTCAAAAATCAAGGCTGACTTGACTTGACTTTTTTTCACGTCAAAATGAACAGACTACACTTTAAGCATCTGCACAATACACGGGAATTCTTACCTAACTGTTTGACGAAGTGAACTCTGCCTGTGAAATAAAGAAAAATATAAGATAACAAATGAGACCCAACACTCTCTGCTCAAAATGGAGACACCAAGGAGTTCCCTGTTTAGTTCTTTTCTAGGCTTATTTTTTTTCGGCGGAAATCGAGCCTATGCTTTCATCGTAGGGAGACGAGATAGATCGACAGTGGGAAAAGATAGTATTCCGTCAGCGATTTTAGTTTTGGTAGCATCAGCAATGCTGTTAACACATCTGGGATCTTTGTATAAACAAAAGTACAGCGTGATTGTTGTCAAATGAAGGCGTAGGGTACGATGTCATGAAACTTACCTTCTGTCTGGATCCCTGTTCTTAACACCATCCTGGATTGTTGGGGCCATATTGAACGAGGAGTCACTCAGACAAAGAAGAAAAGACCTCTCTAGCACAGCACTCGCACGCTACATGGCTATAAGATCAAGATGTGGACTGTACATGTGAGACTGCTTCCAAATCCAAGATGGCTGCCTGAGAGTTTACACGAGAAAGACTGGTACTGAGTACCAGGGTCACCCGCCGCCGAGTTCACTGTTCTTCGTTTGCATTCACTGTCCAACAACGCCGGGAGGTCAATTGTCAACAAAAAAAACTAGCACATTTGAATATTTTTCTAGCAAATTACACTGATCCCAAGTGAAAAAAGAACTGAAGAAAAACAACCCCCCTCACCTCAAAATATTAAACATTTTTACTATTATCAGGAGCCGTAATGAGCAAAACGCGCGCAAAAAAAATCAAGTCTTAAAAAGGGCAACTAAACAATGTTTTAATTTGCAGAGCACCGAAAAGATAAGTTTACTGGCGAATTTAATTCTGTAGACGCACAAAAATAGCATGATTTTATGTAACGAAGAAAGTTGATTACGAACGAATATCAGCAAATCAATTATTTTTTATCAGTAACCGATGATTTTCGAGAAAAAAATCAGAATGAAATCTCTGTTAGGAAAATTGGTCGGCGAAATCAAAGCGACGCCGTGAAATAAGTTAACTTTACCCAATAGTGGTTAGGACGTAGCTTTCAGTAAAATAAATACACGAAATTAAAATAAACTTAAAAACGTCAATACACTTCAGGACAAAGTCTTGATTAAGAACTTGAACTTACTGCATAATTATTGTAAGTTACTTTTTTATTCTTCAGTTTTCCTAGTTAACCACACGATCCGATCTTCAATTGGAAAAGGAAACGAATAAACTCTCGCCTATTCTTTGATTTCATGAGCAAAATCTTCTGTTGTTAAGCTTCCATTGTGTATTCAACAAATGTTTACTAAGATAGTTCATAATTTCTTGAAGAAAAAAAAATGGCGTTTAGCGGGGAAATTTTGCTGAAGGCCATTGAATAATTGTCAACGCTTCCAGAAACCTTTCTTTCCCCATAAATACTGAAATAACTGAAACTAAGTTCAACTTAAAGGAGTTATATATCGACATGTTTTGCGGTGAAACCTCATAACAATTATATTCAGTTTTCCTTGACCCCTTAACTGTATTTACACTGGTACAATAAAAAAAATACTTAAGTAAACGGGTTTCTTAATGGAGATTGCTTTAATTTCTTTTGCAGTCAAAATATAATTTGTTACAACTTAAGAATACGTCAAGAGTAGTTTTTACTTGTAAAACATGTGTAACTACGCGAGATAAAACTGAAACTGTACCTAGCACCAAGGTTGTCTACTTCTGTTTACTTAGATATTGAAATGTTCCGTTCGTAATGCAAACTTCGACTAAATCACGTCGAAGTGAGTTATAAATTTTATCGCCACGAAATTCATACTCTAAAATAAATTTTATTCCAACATTTGAGCGAAATCCCATCTTTATTATTCAACCGTTGAACTATAGACTGTGAACTTAATATATCACTTTTAGTCAACTCCAGGAAAACACATGCTTTCAATTTCCGTTGTTAACCAAACAGACTTGATCTTTTTTCATTTAACACACCATTTCAGATATTTATTTTTAATCTATTATTGGGATCCGTAAGTAAACAAATGGCCAGCATTATTTGAAACGGTGGCAATTAATCTAGCACTCTTTTAGAATCGTTTAGTGTTTGTAACACCTCTCCATACATCATTCTTGTGTTTTTGACAGGTATTTTTTTCTTCCTCTATACTGCACAATTTGTTCGAGTTTCGTCCTAAACATAATTAGACGAAAAAGACAAAACTCATAATTTTTTCTGTTTATTTGCTTATTACAGCTGAAATAGAAATAACCAACTTCGTTTCAAAGACATGGCAAATTGGAAAGCCTTTATTCCTGTTGTATTTTGTTTACATCTCTTCATCCATTGCTCTCAAGGTAAGTTTCAGGTTTTTCGCGGAAGACATTAATTTGACTCTAGTAAAATAATTTAAGACTTAAACAAAAATGATTCATCATTTTACACTGCAAAACCGCGATCTGTCGCCTTTCTTTCCCTAGCGAGTAGCGGCTAGAAGTCGTGAACCGAGCCCTTTATTATTCACCGTTTTTTTCTCAGAGACCGCGACGTAGCGAGCGAGCTCACAACAGAGACCGTTATGCAGTTTTACACCCTTATTATTCATCAACATTTGTTACAATTGTGGTAGTTAAAATCATAAGAGTATGACTGATCTAATTTTTGGTAACTGATGAATGAAGCCGCTTTCGCCACAACTTAAACGAAATGACACCAAGGTGAAAAAGGAACTTTGCGCAAATTAAAGCAAACGCTTGCCTTTTAAGGCAAGGTTTGGAGAACCTTGGCAATTAAAAAACCCCGCCCTGATTGAACGAGAACAGTCGCCAAAAGTTGAACGAAGACAGTTGGATACCCGACAGTTTTCTTTCACTCTCAGTGAGAGTGGGCCAAACAGCTGAAAAAAACAACAACCGAATTTCGAAAAAATAATCAGTAGGTTTAAATTCAAAGCAGAGGGAAATTTGGAACTCTGTCATACAACCAGGGATTTATAACTATCTTTTTAACGCCAAAGCTAGCCAGAACGAGATTTAAGCAGACTTGATGGGTGATCATATTCAACCATGTTACACAAGCTAGAAACCATATCTGATCATGAAAACCCTGTGTGAAGGCGGGATAAAAGCCCCTTTTCGATTTTTTCCATAACCAAACAGGAACTGAAGAAACACGTGCCTTAGCTCGTGTTCTCACAGCATTTCTCGTTCTTCCAAATTTACACTCTAGGAAGCAGGGATGGCGCAGCGGTGATAACACTCCCCACCCACGAATGTGGCCCGGATTAGATTCTGACCCGGTGCCATGTGTGGGTTGAGTTTGTTGCTGGTTCTCGCCTTGCTTCGAGGGTTTTTCTTTGGGTCTCCGGTTTTCCTCCCTCCACACACACACACAAAAAACAACACCTTCAAATTCCAACTCGACTAGGACGGAGGACCCGCATGAAAACCGGCTAAGGCTGATGTGGCTTCCTCCCTAAATATTGTAATTTATTTTTAACTCTATCAAAACATGGTAAATGTTTTCCATTTCTTAAATAATTGCAATGAATGGTTTTTAATGTCTCTTTTTATATAGGCACATCATCATGGAATCAATTGAGAGGTTAGTATAACAAGGCCTTCAAATAATACGGTGAATCAAGAGAGGATAAAGGGTGAGAGAGTTAACCCCTCAACTAGGCCTTATTCCCAAAGTAATCCATCTCAAGTTATTTTTAGGTCACTCCCGGTGTCAGATTTCTCAGGCCAAGAGATAGCCGATCCTGTAACCCGGTTTTGCTCACGTGGACCTCTACTGGTGCATTTTGGTCCTTCACGAAAATATCCATGCAACGCGCGTGTTAACGTTATCCGCGGAAGAGCTGGTACCATGTCTAAAAATAACTTGACAGAGATTAGCTCGGCCGGTAATGACGCCTATAAATATGAGAGATTACATCTTTTCCCTTCATCCTCTCTTAATTATACAGAAATATTCAGTTTTCCTCTCATGTCTAGGAAACAAAGTGGGAATTAAGAAAGGGATTTAAAAAAATGTTTAGAATAAATTGCTTATGATAGAACATCATTCTCTTGACGAACGAATCTCGTATCATTTTCAAACACAGAGCGGGGTAACCAAAGATCGAAGAAGATTTACAGGACGCATAACAACTTGACATTTGTTGATTTTTCTTTCAGTAACATTTGGTAAGTTTACCTCTTATCCACTGACCGCCAAACAAGCTAGAGCCGCCGGCTGGAAAAAGGATGCCTCTTGCTCAGGTACCGATCAAAAAAAAGCATCTTGATATTGCAATGGTTTTCTTATTAAATGGTTACATGAAAATTTGTCATCTCCCAACTAATATAGCCTTCACTTCAGGGTGTTATTTAGTTCTGTGCCACTGATACTTTGCCATACATTGAATTTGAATACTGTGCAGTGTCGTTTCATCAACGATTAACATGTGGTCTATATTCAACTAGCTGTACATATATACGCTTCTTCACTGTCTCTGCAGGGCGTGCCAACTTTTTCTACGGCAATCGTTACGTGAAAGCTAACGATGATGCTACAAGACTCATCTTTGACTGTGATGGCAGCTTAGCCGGAATGCAGGCAACTGTAAGAGAATCTGATTTTGAGTTCTTAACTAAAATGTCACAGAGTTTCCTTAGGAAATATCATGTTCTCTTGTGTTATGCAAACGGTATATGAACTACGGGTGAGTTAATGGTTATTGCAATGGACTCTACATCGAAAGGTGCAGATTCAAGCTAGGCCGAGATAAACGTACATGAGAGTCACGCCTCTGTCCCTCCAAATGAATAAATAGATGGAAACGTGAGAAAGATTTAAGCAGCAGAGTACTTTTTTTCGTGTTTACATATAGCTTCGATCATCTAAACACGCGGGGGACTCAGAGAATTCGAGACTTTAATGCAAACTTGAGTTTGCATAACCTTCAAGAATTCCCCCATTTATGCACGTAAACATGGAAAAAGTGCCCTATTGCATTTAAAAAATATTGTTCAAGAATACCGCGAAGCTAAAACGTCACAACCGTGCTTACATACTTTCATCTAAACACAACTATCGACCAATGAGCGCGCGCGTAGTATCTCAGTTATTTTATAAATAAGCTAGGCTGAAATCTGGTGCATAATTCTAATGATCAGTTACAGAAACCGAAGTTAAGTGCCAGCACTGCAAAGGCATTTATGTTCTTCGTTCTTCAACTGAGAATTGAACCGCGGAACTGGCACTGAAAACATTTCATGTTGCGCACGGGGGTCCCCTAGTTGAAACATGTGTAATTTTCACTTCAAAGGGGGTATTACGTTTAGATCTGGAAAAATGTAGACATATCTCATAAGTGCCGGGCCACTGCTGGGGCGGATATAGGGGATTCGAGATACCGGTCCGCTGTAGGGGGATCCGGGGGCATGTTCCCCCGGATAATTTTTAAAATTGAGGTCCTCGGAAATGGGATTTCCGGCATTCCGAGGCGATGT